ATCTCTGTGAATCTCTATGCCAATGACATATGAGGCTTCACCCATATCCTTCATTTCAAAGTTTTCAGAAAGAATTCTTTCGTTTCATGTAGCAAACCCAAATCACTACTCGCCAGTAGAATGTCATCTACATACAAGACTAAGAACATGTATTTACTCCCACTAACCTTAAGGTATACACAATTATCAATAGTGTTCTCCGTAAACCCGAATGAAGTAACAATGTTGTGAAATTTTAAATACCATTAGCGGGAGGCCTGTTTAAGTCCATATATAGATTTCTTTAACTTACAAACCAAGTGATTATCCTTTGAGGAAAATCCCTCAGGCTGAACCATGTATACCTCTTCTTCAAAATCCCTATTAAGAAAAACCGTTTTCACATCCATTTGGATATGTTAACAGAAATGTGATATGATCAAGTAGCAAGTGATTATCCTTGAGGAAAATCTCTCAGGCTGAACCATGTATACCTCTTCTTCAAGATCCTCATTAAGAAAAGCCGTTTTCACATCCATTTGATGTAGCTCTAAATCAAAATGAGCTACTAAAGCCATGATTATTCGAAATGAGTCCTTCTTAGAAACTGGAGAGAAGGTCTCATGGTAATCAATTCCTTCCTTTTGGGTAAAACCTTTGACTACAAGTCTGGCTTTATATTGTTCAATGTTATCAGAAGAATTCCTTTTGGTCTTATAGACCCATTTATAGCCAATGGCCTTAGCTTCTTTTGGTAACTTAACAAGATCCCAAACTTTGTTTGTGGCCATTGATTTCATCTCTTCTTTCATGGCATCATACCATAAATTGGAATTAATTCCATTCATGGCTAGTGAAAATGAACTAGGATCAGCTTTAGGTCTAACATCAAAGTCAGATTCTCGTAGATATACAAGGTAATCACTAGAAATAGCTGATTTCTTTTCTCTTGTGAAAAAACCACTAACTGTTCTTGGGTCTAATTTCTTTAAGTGTGGGTTATAAACCCTTACCTCAACTGGACCACCCCATATGTGCAAATGTCTCAAACTTAGTTTCCATCATTTCCATAATTCAAAAGGTGTTGTAGGAACAACTTTAGATGGAACCCGATTTAAGACATACACAGCGGTTTTCAAAGCTTCACTCCACAAATTTATGGGAACATTGGAATAACTAAGTATGCTCCTTACCATGTCCATAAGTGTACGGTTCCTCCTTTGAGCTACACCATTTTATTGTGGTATACCAGGCATTGAATATTGGGCAATTATTCCTTTTTTTTTAAGAAACCTAGCAAATGGACCAGGTATTTGTCCAGATTCTGTGTACCTTCCATAATATTCTCCACTTCTATCTGATTTCACGATTTTAATGCTCTTTTTTGTTTGTTTCTCTACATCTGCTTTTTAGGCTTTAAAAGCATCAAGTGCCTCAACCTTATCAAATAAAGGATAGAGATGCATATATCGTGTATGATCATCAATAAATGAGACAAAATATCTCTGACCATTGAAACAAGGTGGAGTAAATGGTCCACAAAGGTCTGTGTGTATGATCTCAAGAATATTAGAACTTCTTTTGGCACCTTTAGTGGACTTGTTGGTTTGCTTTCCCTTAATGCAATCCACACAAGTACCAAAATCAATAAAATCAAGAGAATTTAAAACTCCATCTTTTACTAATCTTTTTATCCTTTCCATTGAGATATGTCCCAATCTTTTATGCCATAACATAGAGGAGTTCTCATTGGTAATACTTCTCTTTATGCCAATTCCACTATGTAAGGTTAAAAGACTATTTTCATATGAAAGATCCAAATCAAATTTATATAAACCATCAGCTAAAAAACCATTGCCAATAATAGCATTATTTTTCAATAAATTGAAACTCGAACTAACAAAATTAAATGCATATCCAAAAGGTACTAATTTTGAAATCGAAACTAAATTTCTAGAAAATGATGAAACATAAAAAGTGTTTTCAAAATCCAAAACAAAGCCAGAATTTAAAATCAGTCTAAAAGTTCCCACAGCCTCCACATGTGAACGCATCCCATTTCTCGAATAGATGCATTGTTCACTTGTTATCAGTTTCCTTAGGCTAAGAAAGCCCTGCACAGTATTGGCAACATGAATTGTGGAACCAGAATCAATCCACCATGTATTATCAAGAACTTTAACAAAGTTAGATTCATAACACACAAGAGAGAACCCACAGCCTCCACATGTGAACGCATCCCGTTTCCCGAATAGATGCATTGTTCACTTGTTATCAGTTTCCTTAGGCTAAGAAAGCCCTGCACAGTATTGGCAACATGAATTGTGGAACCAGAATCAATCCACCATGTATTATCAAGAACTTTAACAAAGTTAGATTCATAACACACAAGAGAGAATATATTACCTTTTTTCTCAAGCCATTTCTTGTACTTAGGACAATCTTTCTTCATGTGTCCCTTTTTCTTGCAAAAGAAGCATTCACCTTTATTGCCATAATGCTTCATTTGCACTATCTGTTGTGGAATAGTTTTTCCTTTCGGCCTTTTCCTTTTCCATGAAATGCAAGATTGGCAGTCTCTAGTTTTTCATGCTTCAATCTCTCTTCCTCTTAAACACACATGGCCAAAAGTTTATTTACTGATCATTTCTCCTTCTGTGTGTTATAGGAAATTTTGAAAGCACTATATTTCATAGGAAGAGAGTTAAGGATAAAATGTACTAAGAACGACTCATAAATATCTATCTCCAATGTTTTAAGTAGAGTTGTAATGCCCCGCATTTCCATAATATGTTCACGCACACTTTTAGAACCATTAAGTCTCATGCCTGAGACCTTCTTCATTAAGGTGTTGGCTAATGCCTTATCAGATGTCACAAATTGCTCTTCAATAGCCTTCATGAAGACCTTAACCTTGTTGCAGTCAGGGATTGAACCCATAATGCCCCTACTGATATGGGACTTGATGAGCATTAAACTTAAGCGATTAGATCGCTCCCACCGCTCATAAGAAGCCCTTTCAGTTAGCGTACTTGATTCCGTGGGAACAGGTGGTTCGTCCACACGAAGCACCAAATCAAAGTCCATGCACCCCAAAGTCAAAAGAATCTTATCTTTCCAGTCAGAAAAATTTTCACCACTCAAAAATGAAATATGAGATGATTGAACTCAATAATATAGTAGGAATGACTGCAACAACCAAGAACAAATCATGCTACGAAAAAATAAAAAATAAAGTAAATTCTAATCTCCATGTGGGTAAAGATTGCAACTTGCATCGAATCTACTTAACTTTATTAATAAGACTAGTAAATATCTCTCACAAAATAAAAATAATTCCATCATCTGTGGACATAGAAAAATTTTTATTTTGATATTTAACTTACTATCTTATTCCAAATAAATTAATAAAACAATTATCTTCCTGTGGGTAAAATAATTAATTTTACTAATTTAAATGCAAGTAATAAGATGCCATCTAATATAATTATTTTCTAACTTTATACACATAACAATAATTTAAGATGCTGTGGCTATTATCAAATTACTGTAATGCTCAACCATCTTATAAATTTGGCATCGTATAACCTTTAATTGAACAGAAAACAAACCCAAATATAATGGTCCCAAGATATTTAATTTCTGTAAATAATTCATTATGCATCACAAACTCCAAATTTTGAAACAAATTGTTCACAAAATAAAGTTCCATAACTATTTACAGAAATTTTTTTTTTATTTTTTATTATATCAGAATCTAAAGCTATTCTTGCATCTTTAATTACCCTTTGACATACGTGCACATGCATTCTCATTTACACACATACACAGATGAAGACGGTTTAAATCTGAAGCTATTCTTGCATCCTAGTCATGATGAAGACAATTACACAATTGCAAGAATGGTATTGACAAAAAAAAAAAAATTATAAGAGCATTAATGATATATATATATATATGTATTGAATTTACATACTGATCAACATGGATTTGGAGATAAGCTCTGATACCACAATGTAAGAAAATCATACACAATATATAATCATATATGTATGGATATACAGCGGAATAAAATTTATACTAACATTCTTCAGCCATTGTTGATCAAGTTGTGTGATGTGTGTATTTCTTCTGAACTTCTCAATGTTATATCACTCACTTCACACTTAATGAATAAGTGTCTTCTAACCTATGCAGAACTTGAGCGCCTCATTGATAAAAACCACAGGCCTATTTGTAACTGTTAAGTCAAGGACCCTTATATAGATATATTATCAGATAAACCTTGTTAGTTTCCTTCCATCAAGGAAACTTAAGTAGTGAAAATTGATAGGCCTTACCCAAACCACCATTTAGAGTTCTTGATATTTTAAGCAACTTCAATAATTATCACCCATAATTATCAAAAGATAAATATACACATAAGGATAAATATATAAATAATATATAATATATATAATTTACAAATATTAATATGTATGTGGGCCACATTAAGTCTCCTTAGGAGACGTAGCTTACAACTTAAAGGTAGAGCACTTGTGTATTCTCATTTCCTACCTCACTACATACTATGTGCACATAAAGAACCGGACACAGAATGCACAAATGCCATATAAGATGATGTTTGCAGCTTTAATTGCGAACATTTTAGATCACATTTGTAACCCATTCTGTGAAATTCTTTCTGTGCACAATGGGTGACAAAGCCACCACCATTGCTCAAAGGGTTCCAGGCACGATATTGATCAATTTCATGGGGTTCTCCACATCACTGCCGCCAGCGTGCTTAACGAACTCTGCTGGGGTGAGAAAGACGCCATGACAAACACAGACTATGCTCACGTGCCCTTTCACGAACTTGTACAGCAACCCTTTGATTTTCCTCCCACTGGGGCCATTGCCGGTTGTTGTCACACTAGGCATTAGCTTCATCATTTTGATAGTCGCACTGTCATGAATACAGCTGGCTAAAACTTGAACCTTCTTGGATACTCTCTCTTGCTCGGTTTTTGCTGCCTCAGCCATTTTTTCATTTGCTCTCTTCCTAAGTAAGACTGCGAAATCCCAGGGGTGAGAATTGGTGGGATTGATTGTTTTTCCATTCGGTATTTTCTCCAACATGATCCCTGGTGCTGAGCGATAATTTCCAAGATAAGCCAGTTTTCATTCGCCGTTGTCCCAAAATTGAATGAAGGCTCTGGGCGGTAATTACCAGGATCAACTGATTTTCCAGTATCTATCACTCTTGTAGGAGCTTTCGCTGCAGTTGAATTTTCTGGACCTGAATGAATTTTGCAGTTAAATGCATGCAATATTTGTTAGCAGTAATCAATTAGTATCAAAGATCCAAATTTTGCAGTTAAATGAATACAATATTTGCAGTTAAATTGAACAACAAATGTTCAATACATAATAAAAAATACAACGAACTATATCTCATTTCTTTCTATACTACGAAAGCATCAATGCAATCTTATGCAATAGAGCAGATTCATCTTTGTCATCCAACGAGAGAGGGGAGTTCCATTCCTGAAACATATGGAGGCTGCCGGTGAAATCTGTAAAGAGTCCATCGACTCCTATCTTGTTTGTCCAGTACTCATATTCGATGTAAGGGTCTTGACTAAAGTTGTAGTGTAAGAACATGTTCTCATTCCGGTACGTGTATGGGTGCACCTGAAACAAAATCACAAAACCAAGTAAAGATTTAGCATATTTTAATTTGAACTCAAATGGAAAATAAAATCTTGGGTATACAAGCAAAAATGACAAATTTTGAATACTCTTCGAACAAGATTATCACTAGTACGAGTTGAGAAACACAATGTGAATGGTCAATAAGGAGGCAACAGATAAATCCTGTTCTAGGCTTGCAACATTTTTCAGGATATTCATCTTTACAGATTGAGCAATCTTAACTGTCTATTAGTCTTTACAGATTGACCCATAGCTCCAGTTAAACCTCCGCTCTTTCCTTTTCTTTCTGTCTCTCTCTCTCTCGTCTTTTCTTTTTTTTTTTGGGAAGTTGTCATTATTTGAAAGGTTCACTATCGATTAACATACAAAGACCAGGTCATACAACCAGAAAGATACAAATTCACAAGATATTGATTAGATTATAATCTCATATGAACTTCAGAGTGAGAAATATGCACCTGTAGGTCATGAGCATGCGCTCTGGTGACAAGATCGGTTGGTGTCTGCAAATAATTATTCACAACAGGAACCACTGTATCTTTCCAAGGTCCGATTCCCACTACATATTCCTTAATGTAGTCGAGGTAAGCATCTGAAGTGATTTCCCAATATGACTGCATATATCAGAAATAATATTACTTGATAATATTACTTTAATAGCAACGACACAGATCATGACTTCAAAATGAACAGGTCATCATATACAACAGAAACCGGAGACAATGAGCAATAGTAAAAATACACAAGTCAGAGACTCTGTGACATGGACTTAGGCATAAGTGTCAGGTGCATGTGTCTAGGTGTCTGACTTGTCTAATTTCCATGTTCAAGACACGGGGGCACAGTAAAATATTCATATTTCTTAATATACTTCATTTTTAGGGTAAAATAGTGTTCACAAGGTTCCATAAAACATTTTATGCATAATATGAGAGTTTTATGGTAAACATGAATTAGTATATATGTGATAGATGAATAATTCAAGTTTTATGCATAGTTTGTTTGTGTACATTTCATGATAGTTTTTGTGGTAAACTTACTCGAGTGTCAAGTACCTGACACAAGTACTATATAAATTTAGAAGAGTCCATGTAACATCAAAGATCCTCCAAATTCTAAAAAACCGCAGATAATATATTCTAGATTGCATAATGATTATACAACTCGTGTGATGTTTTGAATTGAGAAACTTTAATTCCTTGTGTGTTGGTGCACGCATGCAACACATGCTCGTGCACGCCACATATATAAAAGAGAGGGGAAAAAACCCAAGTTGAAGACACAAAGTTCCAGCAAGATTATCACTGTGGATGCGCCATTTATATTGAACGAACATTACTACATTTTTCTCGACAATAAAAGTGTAGTTTTATAATAACTGATAATAGTAGTCTAAAAGGAAGCCAAGGAAATGAGGAGAACCTGATTTGTGTCCTGGGTTGGTACTGTAACATCATCAATTAAGAAGATTTTGGGCAGATCAGTCTGGTTTGAGACATAAGTAAGTGATGTTGGAGCAAATGACTGGATAAATGCAGGCTGTCTCAACCAATCTTTCGACATATATGAACCTTTATATCCGTACTTCTTAAGCATCTCCACAAATTTGTCCTCAAATCTTTTACCACCTGGCCATTTCACCTGTTGAAAGCAGCAGTTTGAGCATTAGTGTTTTTGATAAACACTAGTGACTCCAGTCACTTCCATCAATATCACACTAAACCAGCATTCTCGTTTGGTAGCTTCCGTTTATTTTTATTTTTTTGAAACTAGAAACGAAAACTTGTTTGATATGTTGTTTTTCCTTCCAAAAAGTAAATTGATTTCAAAATTTTTGGAAACGAAAAAATGTGTTTTCGCTTGTTTTCAAAACAAGCTTTTACTCTCTCCTCCCTCCACCACCGCCACAAGCCACCACTGGCTGCCGGCTGGCAACCCTCCGGTGACCAGACAATTATTGCCTTCTGCAACTGCTAACCTGATGACCTCTGGCAACATTCCGGCTAACAAATTTAGCCACCCTCCACTGCTGGTTACCACCTTTGACGAGACAACTCACTAAATAAGTTTTTTGTTTTCAAAACAAGTGTGAACAGGAAACTAACAACGTTATCAAATGACAGTTTAATAAAACCATTTTGCAGCAGCATAGCAGATAAAGCTTTACTCTTTTAGTTACTCACATGCTGGTTGATAAATACCGGATTTTTAATCTCTGGATATATTCCGACAACTCTTGATGCATCTAAAGCAATTGAAATGTACTCCTCAAAAGTGATGATTTGAAATCTTCCTGAATAGTACATTAAAAAAGAGATCTTAGGAAACTATATACCTCACTTACATAAACACGTTTGTTTATACATAGTTGATATTACAAAATATTATTAATTTTATATAATTGTTTATGGCATGTTTTACATAAATTAACTTAAAACAGGAAGTATCTTAATATAAGGGAACAGTGCATAGACTCTAAACATTAGTATCACTAGAAGAGGCCGATTCTTTCAATACAGAATTATAGCAAATTTGAAGAAAGTAAATAAACATAAAAAAAGAAGTACGAAGCAATTCCAAGGTTATACCAAACAACAACATTCATGGAAATGCAATTCATCAAATTACAATTCCAAATATTTGACAGTCCAAGTTAACATGCAATGCAGTTTCACTGTAAATGTTAAACCTAGTGTGATTGAAGGGGACACATCATCATGTCTACATTCAAATTTCCAAGCGAAGCAATTGACCAAGTAAATGAACATCAGCAAGCTGAGTCACAAACTTAGGATTTCTAATTTTACCTAGGATGCTGATCTTTATGGTACATGGAATAGGAAAGAAACTTGATAACACCACATACTTTGAATATGGTATGATAGTGGTGGGTTTTTAGATCAACGCTATAATTTGATGAGCTTGTTCTACTTGTGAGTGTTGTTTTCTTTGACCTAGTGATGAACTATGTTATATGGACTCAGGTAATTAGGTGTGGATGCATGTCCAAGCGTCTAATTTTCTAAACCTAAATCTTAGGGTATTGGGATATGTATCCAAAAGTGGGGGTATGAGAACAGGACACGTCCTGAACACTTAATTATAGTGCATATTGTATTATACTCTTAGATAAGAAGATGTAAACTATTTAGAAATGTACTTGAAATTAAATAAGATTTAGGGAAAATAAGAAATTTCTAAGGCCAGAAATATTTCCTTGGTAGCAAATGTGAGTTTCTTCTTCTTCAAACATCATATAAAATTTGAGGATCCAAATATCTAAACCAAGTACAGGTGTTGAACACATATCCTACTCCCTTGCCCTTATCATATCCAATAGAAACAGGTACTCAGAGAAAAATAGAAGAATCCATGTAACATTGGTGATGAATAAAGAGGATTAGTATTATCAAAATCTGTACGCATTGTTATCACATTGGATAGAACATAATAAAGCATAAAATTTTGTAAACTGTTTGTTTACGTTAAATTCTTGGTTTGCTACTTCCTTTATCATTCTTCTCTTAGGTGGAGGCCGTGGATAACCCAATCTCATATTCTAACCATACTTGCAGCCACAACCATTGACAAGGATAAGAAAACCTAATGAAACGGTCTCTCTTAGTTGCATCACAAGCTTTGTACGCATCTACTTCCTTTGTCCAGGCTGAGAAGTTTCGCAAATGGGCATTTATTAGACATATGAAAAAGGCAGTGTGAAATAGGCAAGTGGTCAATAGTAACCCCCAAAAATAGTCTAGTAACTGCAGATCATGAACTGTTGGGCCCAACAACTGTCTATTCCAACTTTGTAATTCTCTTTCTTAGCTATCAAAGATAATATGTAACAGAAAGATATAGCAGATGTAAGCATTAGCCGTCACAGGGAACCACTTTTCCATTTTCAAATTTCCTTATGATGTCATTTAGCAACTTCAAAAGTTACAAACTAAAGATGATGTCATTAGAAAGAAAAACAAAATTTCACAACTTTGATGAATTTTTTTTTTGGAAAGACTTGTTGAGTTCATGTTAAATTCCAACATGGAACTAACCATTATATTGTTGATCCCGAAAGGGGTATCTCTGCTTCACCCGCAACGACTTTAGTTCTTTCAGTGTGAAATCAACTGCACGAGATTATCAAAATATACATTAAAGGGTTCACTCGCAATGACTTTAATTCTTACCGTGTGAAATCAACTGCATGCACAAAAAGAGTGTTATTATATTACAAGCATAAGATAAAAGAAATTACCAATGAAATAACCAGTTGTGTTGGCATCTTGGACATCATAGCTCCTCTTACGATTTGCAAACTCCTTATGTTCTGCTATATCAGTTGTATCATCAAGAGTTACGTCATGGAAGCACATAAGAACACCATCTTTGGAGGATAGGATATCTGTTTCTATGAAATCTGCACCCTCTTCAATAGCTTTCTGCAAGAAATTCATTTTTCATGAATACATTAATCATAGAAAAAGAGGGACATCTTAAGTTAAAAGTGCACACAAGACATTGGATACATCTAGTTTACCTCTCAATTCTGGCAAAAAAATTTAGAGTTACACGTTTATATTCTCATGGCAAGACAAAATTCAAAATGTTGAAACTAAAGCATCTGTGACAGAACTTAAAAAACAAAAATGAACAAATTTACATTTATGAATATATCAAAAATCTTATTTTGTTGATAAGACCAGAAGGCAGGACTAATCTTTATATATATCTACACTATATTATAAAGGAATCACCCAAGTTGGTATGAACACAAAGATGAAGCTGGATACGCTTTTTATTATTTCAAAATTTTCCTTGATGAGTTATTTTTTATAGTTTAAATGAGTTGTTTTATACTTCTTGAAGGGCAAAAGCATAAACATCTGAGGCAATTTCTAGAACTTCCACATCTTCCCTGGCGGTGCAAGTGAAGAGAGTTTAGTGTTTATATGTTTGAGCATATATGAATACACATATAGACATATGGTAAAACTAAAGGACCACATAACCAATATAAATTAGCTGATCTACAGACTAAGGGCTTACACAAATTTGAGGAGAGTAAATTTTTTTAATGCCCTCCATCATGAAGAGGACAACTTTCCAAACTAATTACATGATCAGAGCACAGAAATATTTTTTCAGATTTTCAAAATGTTATGCTGCAAGCTTACCTTGTATGCAGCAGTGGTTTCTTCAGGAATCTCTCCGTTTGAACCTCGATGTGCAATGTTGTATGGGCGAAAAGTCTGCAGAGGCTGTCTAGTCTTATGTTCCACTTTGCTAGGGAGTGGATAGAAAGGCCTTGCAGAACACTCAACAATGAGTAGCACAAAAATAAAAGGGACAACACCTACAAGTGAATTAACAAAACAATGTATCAATCAGTATATAAAAGACTAACAAGCATGCAAAGATTCAATGAATGAATTCCTAGGTTTCAATGAGAAAAGCCCTGACAAGTAGATGAGCATAATGTGTTGGTATTGCATTCCTCAATTGCAAGTTTATTTTTTTATAATTGTCCATGAAAATAAAGTATCGCTACGAAACATAGATTCAGCTTTAAAATTAAACAAACTGACCAGTAGTCTCTCTGACAATTGACATAAAAAATAATTAAATTTCAGACCCATCTGGGATTAATATCAAATTCAACACTGAGCTTAATTCTTTTTTTGTGATAATTTTTTTGTGCCCCAGGGAAAATTAAATCAAATTCTGACAATTGTCTCTGCATAAGGCTTTTTTAGAAATTAAAATAAAAGATCTTGATTAGGAAATCTGGAATCGGAGTACACGCAAACCCAACTCAAAAATGTCTTATACCAACTACTTAAGGTCATTACATTTTATTGTTTCTTGCAAGTCAGCTGTTAAGTAGAGCCATGCTGGTTCTGTACAAGGGAATCATCCATTTAAATTTTCAACAACCCATCTATATACACTTTCACATTGTTGGAGTAATTACCGGGGATCTAGTGCACGAGGCTCCTGCTAAAACAAGGTCTGAAAAGGACCAATTTTAATGTGATTCAGCTAATTCAGCTTACATTCACGGATTGTGCAATCCTATTGTTATTAGTCATAGTACATGCAATCTTGTCTAGAAATTATTTTCCTCATCCAATCAATAATTCCCAGTTAACCCATACACATAAAATTACTAAAAAACCACAAATGAAGATGTGATTTGCTAAAACAAACAGTCCATACTATAGATATAAACTTAGAAACAATTCCTTACATGCAAGAGCCTACTAATACTCGTTAATGGCCTTAATTGCATATCTAGTGAACTAATCACGACACGCCACATCACTATGGTAAATCAGAGCCTAGTCCTTAACTATAATTACATGGCTGATCTGGTTCAAATAATAGAAACATGGCATGCTCTCATTGGTTTAAAATATGTGTGATTACACAACATAATCTTGGTCAATACTTTGTTAAAAAACAACTCAAAATTAGACAATAATGTCATCATTCAGAATCAATCAACCAATTATAAGAGAAAAAAAAGGTTTCAAAAACAAAACCCAGAAAGAAAAACAAAAAGCAAAGCAAAAAACATTGGTCCAAAAAGAGATATCACCACAAGTCATTTTTCACAACATGACATATCACCACTGTGATCAGAGGTTAGTCATTAACTATAATTACATGGCTGATTTGGTCCAAATAACAGAGACATGGCATGCTCTCATTGGTTTAAAATATGTGTGATTACACAACATAATCTTGGTCAATACTTTGTTAAAAAACAACTCAAAATTAGACAATAATGTCATCATTCAGAATCAATCAACCAATTATAAGAGAAAAAAAAGGTTTCAAAAACAAAACCCAGAAAGAAAAACAAAAAGCAAAGCAAAAAACATTGGTCCAAAAAGAGATATCACCACAAGTCATTTTTCACAACATGACATATCACCACTGTGATCAGAGGTTCGTCATTAACTATAATTACATGGCTGATTTGGTCCAAATAACAGAAACATGGCATGCTTTCATTGGTTTAAAATATGTAATCACAAAACACAATCTTGGCCAATACTTTGTCCAAAAACAACTTAAAATAGACAAAATGTCATCATTCAGAATCAACCCACCAATAATAAGAGAGAAAAAAAAAAAAAGGAAAAAAAAAAAAGGGTTTCAAAAGCAAAACCCAGAAAGAAAAGCAAAGAAACAAAGCAAAAAAAGATTGGTCAAAATGATAAATCACCAAAAATCACATTTACAAGTACATACACAGATATACATAAATAACAAATACATCCTTACCCAATGAAGCCATGGTGCTTCTTCCCCTTCTCTCTCTCTCTCTCTGTCTCTCTAGAGGTGATCTTTCTTGATTTCTTGTCTTCCTGGATAGTGGGTTGTGTACATACATATATGTACTTGCAATGTTAACATGAGTGTTTTTTTATTCCAGTGTAGTCTGAAAAATCATTGAGTGGGTCTGAGATTCCTAGCCGTGGATTTAACTGATAATTCCAAGAATATTCGTTTAATAGATGATGATAAGATGGAGGATTGATAGAGTAGTGGTGGATTGGTGATTGTGGACCATTGATTTGGGGAGAGATTGCAAACGTGGATGGTTGTGATTGGTCTGTGTTATTGGGTAGATGTGAATTGGTTTCATGAAGCTAAATTGGATTAATATGGTGGTCACTTTGACTGATGGGTGAGGTGGGCTCCACATCACCTATGATGATGCAAAGTCAAAATTGGAATTAGACTTCAAAAGTAAGTCTTCCTACCACATCACCCCATTACATACGGGTTACGGGTCCTCCTTGCAATAAATTCTGAAGAAAATTATAAATGCAATCTTTGAATTTTTCTTAAAATATAAATCGTTTGGTGTGATTTTAAAAATTATAATTTATATTTTTAAAGTTTTTAATTGCATAATAAATAAAACTAGAGGTGTTGTTAAAAATTTGGGCAAATTACATATATCCCCTCAAGATTTAATAAAATTACAGATACTCCTGAGATTTGAGAAATTACAGATATCCCTGAAGGTACTATTTGCATAACAAATTAAGGGGCAAATTGTTATGAAAATATAAATCTCAGTGGGCAATTTGTTATGAAAATACAAATCTTGAGGGGGTATCTGTAATTTTTAAAATCTCAAGGATATCTGTAATTTAACTAAATCACGAGGGAGGCATATGTAATTTGCCCTAAAATTTTTATTTTTTCTATTAATTTTATTAAATAAAAAATTTTAATAAAAAAATATTTGTAATTTTTAAAATTATAAGGTATTCATATTTTAAATAAGGATGTGAATTGTGTTCAATTTGTAATTAGACTGGACTGTACTGTTGGGCCTCGTGGGTCGATTACGGAGCCCGTATCGATCATTCGAATCGTTGTGTAGAGTTTGTTGAGTGTTTCATCCTTGCAAAAAATTATATTTATCGGATATCGATAGCTACTTTATCAGATTAAATTTCTGTCAAATGTTCAGAATGATTTAAAAGAAAAATTGTTAACAGAAATGTGATATGATCAAGTAGCAATCGATATCCGATCAATGTAATTTTTTACAATGATGAAATACTCGATGAGCCCTACACATTGAATGATTCAGATCATTGATGTAGGGTCCGTGATGGGCCTACGGAGGCCCAATAGTACGGTCCAGTCCAAAACCAAATTAGAGACAAGCTTTACCCTTTAAATAAATTTTAAAGAATGTATTTATAATTTATTCTAAATTCTAATAAGTTAATAATTAAAAAAAATTAGAAATTAAAATTCAAAATATATTTTTGTAAGAATTTGAAAATATTAAAAGTTACCAACTAGCTAAAGTTTTTAGAATTTTAAATTTTAAAAGAATAAAGAAAGTTTTCAAAATAATAGAAAAGGATAACGATCAAGGGGATCAATGGGAGATGCTTTTGAGCTTCTATGGGCTTACTTACTTTAATTATTTGAATTGTTAATATTTAAAGGGTCATTGAGAATTTTATCATTGTGAAAAAAAGAGAGAGTATATTATTTGTCTAATTGTAATGAGATACTTAGATTATATTTGTCATAAAAAAAATGGACAATAATTATAATTTTAATTAAAAAAATTGGTAAAAAATCCACTTTACCAATTGTCTAAGGCATTAAGTCTGGTATTTTTTTTATTAGTGAGAGGTCAACACTTTATGAAATAGTTCGGTAAGAAGTCCTAGAAAATATTTTATTTTCAATTTTACCCCTTGACTTTTCTTATCTATTTGACTTTTCATTGACAATCTATTCAAATTTATATCTATATATTCAAAAAAATTTGTCTATCTGTTCAAAAATTTTTGTTTATCTGTTGAATTTTTATAACCTTTTTTTTTTTTTATTTGTTCAAATTTACACCGTTTTTCAAACTTTTCTTTATCTATTTGATTCTCTCTCCACTTCTCTTTTCTCTTTCTATCTATTGAAAAAAAAAACACATTCAAACTTTTCTTTCTCTATCATTTTCTCTATCCACTTTTCTTCTCTCTTTATTTGTTTCTCTCTCCATCTGTTGAAAAAAATCTTTATTAAAAATCTATCTGTTACAATCATCATCATCATCATCAACAACAACAACAACATCTCAAAACCATTTTGAACAAATCAAAGCAACAGCAAAAAGTTATTACATTTCAAACCCTAAAGAATTTATTCACAATTTATTACTTTTTTTTTTTTTTTGAAATACAAAGCTGTGTGTTGAAATCCAACAATAGATTAGAGATAGATATATGAACTAATAAATAAATCTATGATCACTTGGATGGTTGATCTTCATCTTCATACTCGTTACAAATGTTTCAAATGAGTTCCTCAACACCAAATCAAGATATTGTAAATCTCAAATCTATGATCATTGAACGCGAATAACTCTAAAAAACTCTTAGATTTATACATATATATACATAAAAAAATATTTGTGATGTGACCACTGATATATCTATATATATATGAATAGAAATACTACCAATTTTTTATGTATCTAATCATATATGTGTATATATGAATCAATTAATACAGATCTGTAAAACCGATGGTGAGGATCGTTGGTTGGAGTCCATATGGACACCACCACGAGCACAGTCTGCAACGGTAGGGAAGAGAGACGTCAACGCCAAAAGAGGAAGACAAGGTCAATGCTGATGGCGCTGCGAATTGGGCAAATAGAGATGAGATCAACGCCGATGATGAGGCTGTTGATGGGGACGTGCTTGATGGTCGTTGGGGGTGGCGCACAGGTCGAGGAAGGCGCATGAAAGAGGAGATCTCATATTTAGAAGAGGAGATTGTAACACTGCCGATGAGTACCCGCGCATGTTGAATAGTTCGGATCCTTGATTTATTTTATCAAGTCTTACTAGTGCAATGTAAAACGTAGATGAGAGTTCGGATTTGACAACTTTAATAAAAAATTCATTTTATTGCAAAAACCTTTGCCAAAAATGGATTGCGTCATCAAATCTTAGAGTTGTCACCTAATGTTTTGAAAAAATTAGGAAACCTGTGACTAGTGCCAATGCTACTGTTCGTCGTAACTAAGGATTCTTGGCTCGGAAGTTTAGGTATGAAAGGGGAAGGTAATTAATTGAGCACATCCGCTCACCCGATCAAAAGATCGGCCTTTACTAAGCCGTGATATGAATTTTATTTACTTTATATGTTCATATTCCAATATTTAATAAATCCTAAAAGTTACTATGCGAAGCAAACAAATATAAACTGTGTCATTTGTTTTGGAACAATTTGATTTCATATATGTCAAAAATGTTTTGAATAGTGTAATCATAAAAATTAATTTTATTCTAAATTAAAAAACACAATCTTCACCCACCAGCACACAAAGAGTTATATCAGATAAACACATAGCCACATGATGCTAAAGCACAAAAACTTACATATTTACTAATGTCCCGCAAATAGGTACAAAAACAAAGTTAGTCAAACATACATGATCCTATATATATACAAGATTCTAATACAATTCATTCATGAAATGCAATTAAAGATACGACTTCTATTTATGACGTGTGAACCATCTCAAGATATGAGATAGCACACAAAATCACATAATAATTTATTAAACCCACAGATGCAAATTTAACTGGATCTTAAGGCATGAAACATAAATGCAAAGCATGGATATGATGACAAGCATATAAACTACATATGTACAGATAAGGAAAATGAGTAAAAGTACGAGATAGAAAAAAGTGGGAGTAGGGAATTATTACATCACTTTGAATATTACAAATCTAAATAAGGGAGGAGAAGAATAAAAATATTACAACAAAATATCCTCACAAACTCTTTCTAATTAAAATAAAAACAATAAAAACATAAGCTTTAAGGGTCTCGGAGACCATTGGAGACTATTCTACTCGACATCTGGGAGACTACTGAGTTCTGTCCAGGAGAAAGTGGCTGACCGATCAAAAAATGAGCTGGCCAGCCAAAAAGGTAGCTGGCCGACCAACCAAGAACTTGGTCAGCCAACCAATCAGGGCTAGGCCAAAAACTCTGTTTTGTTTCAAACACTAGAAAAACAAACGTAAAATATATAAGTGGCTCAACTAACCACTACGGATTAGCTTACAACAGGTTTATAACATGAAATTAAAGCAAAAAAAGCAATATAAGAAAGAAATGCAAGAAACTAAAAGAAAATGAAAAGTGTGCAAAATTCACCTTTCAAGGAAAGATTTGATTTCTAATTTTTTTTTTTTTTATCACCCTCAAGTTTAAGAAGTGCGTTCTTAATTCTTAATTTGAAAATTCAAAATTCTTATTGGAATTGTGTTTTTGAGTTGTTTAGCAGTGTGTGTGGGAGGAGGAGTTCCAACTCTCTGTTTTTCTCAATTTCAACACACTTGCTCTCTTTTGATCAAAGTTCTTGAATATATCTCTCTCAAAATTTATGGGCTGGTTTAGATATATGGAATATGGAATATTAGTGGCCTTTTAATAAAAATCTTGCGCATTGAGTTGGCAACATGTAGGGTTAGATTGGAGAAATACTTTAAGTGAATTATAAAGTAAGTCAAGACTCGTAAAGAGTTTTTAAAACTCAATCTTCCCACATATTATATAGGACGGACTATAAACACACTCTTAAAGTTTACAAAATATACATTTGACTTTTTAAAATTCTAAAAGATATATCTTGCCTCGTGAAGTTTCAAAATCCTATTTTACATTTTCTTCCTTTTTTCATATTGTTAAATTCAAAATTATTAACTTTTTTTTAAGTACATTTACTATAATTTCAAAATTACTTTTCTCACTTATTTTACAAATCCTAACTTAATGTTTACTTGCCCTACCATCATTGTCACCACCACCAATCACCTTTACAAATCCTAACTCACCAGCACCTTTACAAATCCTAACTCACAAGCGCCTGCCCTGCCACCACCAATCACTGTTAACGCCTCTAACCATCACCCAGGGCTGCAGTCAACCCACAATGCTAGAGGTTGGACAAGATTTTAGAATTTCAATAAATTTCAACACAACAATATGAGAGAGAGAGAGAGAGAGAGATTTGCAAGTGAAGGATTAACTCTTGACAGCAGTTGATTTACAACTTAGAAACACAATAAGACCTTATAACCACCTAGCTAGCTAGGTTTTTCATTTCCCACCTTAATTTATACATTCCACAAGGTAGGAAAAAGGGAGGGTAAAAAAAGAAGAAAAAAAAAACAACATCCTTCACAAAATTGCATGTGAAGGGTTAAAACTTAAACCAGTTTTTTTTGTTTACAACTTAGAAAACAGAGAACTAAAAACCTTATAAAATAAGGCACTTTTTTTTTTTTTGGTAACTTGAAGGTAAAGCACTTGTATTTTCTTATTTCCTACCTCACTACATACTATGTGCACATAAAGAACCGGACACAAAATGCACAAATGCGATATAAGACGATGTTTGCAGCTTTAATTGCGAACATTTTAGATCACATTTGTAACCCATTCTGTGAAATTCTCTCGGTGCACAACGGGTGACAAAGCCACCACCATTGCTCAAAGGGTTCCAGGCACAATATTGATAAGTTTCATGGGGTTCTCCACATCACTGCCGCCAGCGTGCTTAACGAACTCTGCCGGGGTGAGAAAGACGCCATGACAAACACAGACTATGCTCACGTGCCCTTTCGCGTACTTGTACAGCAACCCTTTGATTTTCCTCCCATTGGGGCCATTGCCGGTTGTTGTCACTCTAGGCATTATCTTCATCATTTTGATAGTCGCACTGTCATGAATACAGCTGGCTAAAACTTGAACCTTCTTGGATACTCTCTCTTGCTCGGTTTTTGCTGCCTCATCCATTTTTTCATTTGCTCTCTTCCTAAGTAAGACTGCGAAATCTGGGGGGTGAGAATTTGTGGGATTGATTGTTTTTCCATTCGGTATTTTCTCCAACATGATCCCTGGTGCTGGTTTTCCAGGATAAGCCAGTTTTCCATTCACCATTGTCCCAAAATTGAACGAAGGCTCTGAGCAGTAATTACCAGGATCGACTGATTTTCCAGTATCCGTCACTCTTGTAGGAGCTTTCCCTGCAGTTGAATTTTCTGGACCTGAATGAATTTTGCCGTAAAATGAATACAATATTTGTTAGTAGTAATCAATTAGTACCAAAGATCCAAACACAATAGGAGAAAAGTAAAACCGCAAATGGTGATCATTTTCATCAATTGCCTTAGAAAGAGCCAATCCATACCGTGATCATTTTGATGTAAATAGGCTTAATATGAACGGTTAGGGAGGTTTCAACTGTCAACCAACAACACTTAACGGTGAGAAGTTTAAGTAGTTTGGGCAAATTTCATTTATTTTAGCTATTTAATATGCTGGCTAAGTAGCAACACCACGTGCTCGGGTTTGAGTCTCATTTGAACAGTCTCTAACCCGTCTCCACTTGCCTATCCTCCATAAAGAAGGATGTTATCTACCTACGCTATTGCAGTTACGAAGAAAAGCATCAAGCGGTCTTTCCATAAAGTGAATCTCTTAGCAAGAAAACCATCCAGAGATCATCGTATTAATTCTATAAAACAAAATTTATGTTCGAATAAATACTACAACATTTTAAAAGGGGGAAAATGCTTGTTGGTATGCTACTAGATTTGACATCCAACTATTTTCTTTGTTTGTTTTTTTTGAGGAAAATAATTTTGCACGTGCTCAACGTTTTGGGTTGAATTATGAGGATGACGAAGTTCTTTGTCGATACATAGTTCGATTCAATTTATGTATCAGCCTTGGATAAAATTTGTCGATTTGTTAGAATAAAAAAAAAAATTTAGTTGACAAATTTGAACTCTTCGCTGCCGACAAATGAAGGTTCTCCAATTTTCTCTCCATGGATACCACGTACGTTCTTGCTATTTGATTTCCAAACTTTCTCTATTTATTTCCTTTTGTTACATTACATCAACTATGTTTACCTTCAACCCAATAATTCAATGTTGTTCTTAGAATCCAAGACAAAATCAAATCCAATCAATAATTAACAAAAAAGGACCACACAATCTAAAGAAAAAATTCAAGTAAACAAGCATGGAACTGTGGATCGTTAGAGCAGAGATAACAATATGAACCAAGAACCAGATTAAACTTAGCAATGAAATTGGACTTATTTATATAACAAATATATAATAAAGATATGAATTGGGATATACAGCACAAATATAATAGGGATATGAATAGGGCTCTAAAACTTATCAATTTTTCCTTCTTTGCCTCATCTTAAAGGGGTCCTATTCTTTTCTATTTCTAGAGATTGGAAAGCTCTTTGTGATGTATAAGGGTGTTGTGGTGTTTTTGTTTGGGAGAATTACCAGTAAGTGGTAATCAGCAAATTTATTTACAAAAACGCGGTAAATATTATAAATATTAATAATTTTAATTATAATTTTTTTTATTAATATGTAATAATTTTTTAAAACTCCACTTGAATAGTAATTTCCGCTTTTTGTTTTGGCATAATGGCTTGGTTCTTGGAAAGAAGATATCTTGTCCCTTCTTTGTTGTTTGTTTTTGCTTCTTTCATTGCCAAAAAAATAAAGGAAAATGCTTTGTTGGCAATACACATCATATCCAATCTTAGATAAAATTATGTAAGTTTTCATAAATTTAGGTAAATGATCACACAAAAATACATAAATTAAACACAAATTTGTATAAATTCATAATAATTTATGTGATTATGTAAATTTGTATTAAACTTAATAATTTTTGTAAGACCATTTATAAAAATTCGTGAAAATTTATATAATATTTTATATAAGGTTGCATATAATATGCAACATACACCCAAAATTTTTCATAAAATAATAAAAAGATTGAACTCTATTATGCCTCCATTTGGGAAGTGAGTTGGTTTTTTTGGCTTTTTTTGACTATTTTAGTTTGGGTTAAAAAGTTTAGTTTGGAAAGGATTTTTTGATTTTTTGACTTTTTTTGTGAGAGAAGAGTGTAATGATTATGGGTTGGATGTGATATTTTGTTTGTTGTAGTTAAAATAATCTATTTTATCTTTTGTGACTAAAATAGTCAAAAAAAACTTTTGCCAAACGAATCCTATATGTTGTTTGGTGTAACTTTTGTGAAATTAGAAGTTAATAATCAAAAAGTTGAAATTAAAAACACGATTTCTGCAACTTTCAGATTATCAAAAAAAAATTTAGCTTATTTAAATTATTTTTAACTTATAAGCTATAAAAAAAATTGTATGAACTGATTTCCAAAAATCTATATATATATTGAAACAAATTTATTTTTGTCCCACGGTTCAATGATTGCCCGTAACTCCAAAAGCCTGTATACACTGTAAAACAAAATGAACCTTCTCAAGTTTGACTTGTCAAATAAAGTTAACTTTAATTTTTGAAGCCAAACATAATAAACAACTTGCGCCAGATATTAGACTCCGTTTGTTTTTAGAAATAGAAGGAAAGAAATTAATAGTAAAAAAATTATTAATGAAAAAATTGATAATGAGGGATTAATAGTGAAGAATTGTTAAATTATTTTTATATAAAATAATAAAATAATAAAAAATTAAATATTAATATTTTAAAAAAACTTCTCAATATATAAAAAATAAAATAAAATAAAAAATTTCTAATCCCCTCATTATTTTTCTAATACCATCTCTATCTCCTCTTTACCAATCCCCCTTCCAAGGGTATTAGTAATACCAAGGGACTAATAGTCCCAAGGCTATCTCTGCAAACAAACAAGGGCTCTAGTGACATGAGGAATTTAAAAATAAAAATAAAATAAAATAAAAATATTATATCACAGTGAAACTTAACCCATCAAAGCTTTCGAGAACTCGTTTATTAGAATTTTTAATCATTTTTGAAACAATACCTTATTAAAGCTTTTTAGAAGAGCTCTCAATCATTTTTTAAACAACTTACTATTGGCATTGAAAATTACTACTAAAAAAAACAAGTTTATGAAGAAAAATTACCTGGAATTACTAGGTTGGTTGATGAACCAACATTGCATTTGAGTTCTTCGACAGCGCGGGAGAAGCCATCGTCGGCGGCAGGGGCTTTGGAGGTAGAACCCGGCGCCCAATTGGTCAATTTAGCCACCACCGTGACCGCCGCCGCCACCCGGGGCTTCTCTTCATCAGAGCCACCAGCTCCCCTGTGCTTAGTTAACTTCTCCACCATCCTTTTCTTAGCCTCCATTCTCTTCAAAGCCTGCATCTCCTTCAGCTTCCTCATCTCTTCTTCATCCACCACCTCCGACGCCGGAACAATCCCAACACCGCCCTCCCTCTCCTTCTCATTCACCATCATCGAAGAAGTTCGAATCAGTGGGGCTTTTGGGGGAATTTTGGCGTAAAAGCCACCCAAAGAGAGCCCCAGATCGAGTTCTGGGTGTACTGAATCTGAAAATTCAGTTTTTTGTGTATCGAATCCTTCAAGAAAGTTTATAGTTTTGTTTCCAACTTCTTCACCCATTGAGCTACGAAACAGAGCACACACATGCAAAATTAGAGAGTTGAGTTTTAGCATTTATTCACTAAACCCAGATGGAAACTCTAGCTAAAAAGTGAAAAGAAAAGAGGAGAAAAGCAAAAACCCAGATGAGTTTTTTAAGCAAATACCATGAACAGAGCATAACCCATCTGGGTAGAGAGAGAGAGAGAGAGCTTACTTAGTTTTTGAGAGTCCCGGCGAGAGAGAGAGAGAGAAGCTGAGAGAGAGAAATACTTTTGATTTTGAGTGTGTTGGTAGAGAGTGTATGAATGGATGTGTATATATATATATATCAATAATGGTGGGTATGATAAAAAAAATTTTATGAAAATAATTATGAAAATTTTATGATCTTTAAATTATATTTAGAATAAAATATTACACAGTAATTAAAATAATCTAAAAATCATAATTTTTTCATGATCATTTCCATAAAAAAAAATTTCATAATTCTTAACTTTTCAATATATATATATATATATATATATGATCATGACAGAGTTTAAAAAGCCAGGTGGTGTGAATCGGGGAGAGAAAGAGAGTCAGAGGGGGGCTATCTTAAAAAGCCAGGTGGTGTGAATCGGGGAGAGAAAGAGAGTCAGAGGGGGGCTATCATGCGGGTTACTCCTTATTTTTGACAACTTTGGACTAATTTTTAAGGTCAAGTTTGGGAAGGCTAAATAAGTATACTTTTTGACTTTTTATGAAATATGGATTGGATTTAGGTTGGGTTTGAAGTGATGTGTTAGAGAGGTGATGTGACTTAAATGAAATGATGTGACTTAAATAGGATAGTGACTTTTTGACTTTTTGAATTTTTTGAAAGATGCCAAACTTTGCCTCATGGAGATTTATAATTTTAGATAAAAGGCAAGGGTATTTTAGACCAACAAAAAAGTATGTGCCACTTGCTCTGCATCATAATCTGGGGAAATTACCTCTGTTAGGACACGTGCCATGACATTGACGCGTGACACTTTTTTAATACTCAAAAACAAAATCTGAATATTAAAGACAAAGGGCCAGAAGACTTTTTAAATTTTTTTTTTAGTTTTTTAGTTTTTTTTTAAAAAAAATTACATACACTATGTTTAGTTTCAATTTTTTTTAAATTAAATTTTTATTTTTCATATTTTTTATTTTTAGTGAATATTTTTATAATTTTAAACATTTTTACCTTATTTAGATGTATCTAAAACGTAAATTATTTGTGAAATTGTTTTTAAAAAATTAATAAATTCACAAAAATACGAAAAATATACTAAATTTTTATATTTGTTTTTTATTTTTTTTGGTATTTAAAAAAAATTTAAAGATTTTTTTCATGAAAATTATATTTTTAAGTGTATTTATGTTAGGTGGGTCTAAAAATTAAAAAATTTACTTAAAATATTTAAAAAATTTAGTAAAACCAAAAAATACGAAAAAGAAAAAAGTAAAATTTTTTAAAAAAATACGAAAGAGAAAGAAAAAAATTATACTTTTTTATTTTTCGTATTTTAATATTTTCAATGAATATTTTTAATATTTTAATCAAATTTTTTTAATTTTTAGACACACCAAACATAAACACACTTAAAAAGTATAATATTTATGATTTTTTTTTAAAAAAACACTAAATATCAAAAAATACAAAAAAATATGAAAATTTAGTCCATTTTAGTATTTTTGTGTATTTATTAATTTTTTAAATATTTTTTCACAAATATTTTACTATTTAGATACATCTAAGTAAAGTACATCTAAAAAAGTAAAAAAAATACGTAAAGTGCAAAAAAATATTGTTTAAAAACAAAAAAACAGGGAAAACAAAAAACTCAATTTTCAAAAAATTGAATTTAAAAAATTGAAACCAAACACACATTATTTTTTTATTTTTTTATATATAAAATTTTAAAAAAATCAATTTTTTATCTTCTCCTTAAAACATCACAAAACTGAGCACAAAATTAGTTTTTTTTTCCCAAAATAAAACAACAATTTTTTAAGTGAATATTTGCTCAACAGTGCTAATTTTAATTTTAAATAATAATATCAATATATAGACTAATATTGAAAAACTAATGATCAGTGTCAACTCATATATTAGTGACTAACGGAATCGTAAGGTTAACATGTTGTTACGTAATAATCGATATGCATGTGTTAATATATGTAAGGTTAGTTTAAAAATTGATTATTTAAAAAAAATGATTTTTTTATATAAAAAGACATATAAATAAATAAAAAATATTATTTTTATATTAACTTTTTGATTAAAAGTTTTGCGTCCCAAACAAGGCTGTAACATGACATTATTTAGGTGATGTTTTTGATAAATAAAAAAATTACAAAACACGTTAAAAAAATATTAAAAATTTATAATTTATTAGACCTAAAATGACATATTTACCTAATTGAATTTGTAACAAATAAAAAATTGTCACCTAACATATCATGTGGATAAATAATGGATTAATTCTCAATTTTTTTGTCAAAATATTTAGATAAGCCATCATTGTGTCTTAATTAGTGTAGGAGTTAAATTAACTTTAAAAGAATTATCATAATTATGGATTTATAATATCTCTCATGATTTGTTAAGATTATGGTAATACTATTAAGAACTCGTTTGGGAAATTAGGTTTGGGTTTTTTTTTTTGATTAAAATAATCACAAAAAAATAAAATATATTTTTTAGTCTAATAAGACAAAACATTACATCTAACTCATAATCATTACATTATTTCTCTCACAAAGGCATTTTAATCCCAAACTAAAATAGCCAAAAAATTAAAAAATCAACTCACTTTCCAAACTAACGCTAACTAATATTATACTAACAGGACACCTGGTGATTTCTACAAGAGGCGCTGCCTTGGACTTGCGGGAGGATAGGGAAAATTTTTCTGTAACAAAAAAAATACTATATATTTTTGTGTCATACTCTACCATTATTTTGTATATATTTTTTTGAAATAACACTTTTAATTATTATTTTTTGGACATCGAAGAGGCTGAAGTCGCGACAAATAAACAAACAGATCCATCCAACTATTCGAACATGTTTACAGTTGACAGTGGGAAAACAAAAGAATGGATGCACCCCAAAGACTTGTTTCGGAGTAGTTTGACATTTAGCTGTCTTGGAGCATCTTTCTCAAAATAATCAAATTGTTAGTCAAATTTTAACTAAAAAGTTATTTTTTTTTATTTTAACTAATCACTTTTTTAAATACATCCTTCAATAAATTCTCTATTATTTTTCTATTATATTTAAATATTTTTATTTTATTATTTCTTTATTTTTTTTAATAGTCATATTTTTTTAAATTAACATTTTTCAATAATTTAACTTTTGATCAAATATTTTTAAACCAACACATTTTCAATGTGTGTGTGTGTGTGTTTTTTTTTTTAATATAAATAATATCACTTCATCTCTATTTTTTATACACTTCAATATAATTATTATTATTATTTTTCAATTTATTCTTTGTTTTTCAATATGCTTTACAATTTTGTACAAGAAAAACTATTTTGTTCATACATATAACCATTTAAAATATCCCATTAGTTTAAGTAATAAAAAAGTTGGTTGGTTTATAGACATATCAAATATGTGAACAAAATTAAATTTCAAAAAAATAGTTGTGTAATGCTAGTCTAATATTTTATTAGCTAAATATATTTGTTGAGGCTTGATGGCTAGCTACTTTTGAAGAGGATTTGAGCCTCAATAGATTTCGCAATTGAAAAGGCTAGCTTGATAAAGTATTTATTTAGTGAATTTTCCTGATAGAATAGTTAAAAAAGGGATTTGATGTGTTTGATGCAATTCGTTTTGTGTCAAACCATTTGAAGATGTCATTGCCGATCACGTCTTAGGATTTTCCTGATTTTTTGACGAATTAAATTTGGAATCTACCTTTTTCTAACCTTGAATAGCTTCGATGGCCTCCAACGAATCTGTTTCAACAATAATGGCCCGAAACCCTCATCCCAAGCCAGGTGTATCGTGTAGAGTTACTTAAACTGGATTAGTGATCGGTCATTAAGTTTCTATTACATTATCTACTAAAATCATCCCAAAACCTCTCCTTATTGTGTTTTTGTCTAAATTATTACAAAGTTATATTTTTCACTTTCCATATCAAAGAGAGATTAATAAAAAGGGTTCTAAATATTTAAGAGTAAAAAATAAATTTAAATACTTTATTGTATAGTATTTTTGACTGACCAAATAATCAGGGACGTTTGCGGACCAAATATTTTCGTCAAAAAATTATTATGAATTGTCAAATCATTTTATTTTATTTTATTTTATTGTGTGTAAAAAAATAAACAATCAACTAACAAATCAATTTCCAAACCAAACCCTCAATACTTTGGAATTATCGACTCCACACTTAGAATTGGTGCTCTCTGTGATTTCCGGGGTCTTTACACTAACTTAACGATATTTATTTCGAGTTTATTATTTCAATTTCGAATTACTATTTCGTTTCCAAACTTGTTTGTGTTTTGAAATATTTATCCCGAGTTAGAATTTTCAAAATTTGAGCATTAGAATGAAATGAGGGAGTGCGAATTGCCTTTGAGAAGATTTTTACTCAATAGGCAATTTTGCACGTGCGGATCCTTTAAGAGGAAAAAAGATTTGGTGTTGAGACTTGGCCGCTAGTGCGGGGGTGAGGGCCACACGTGTGGAAAGGTGGAGCTTTCGTGGGATTTTTGTTTGAGTGAAATTGCACGTGCGGGAGGGGTTCCACAAGTGTGGCTAAAGAGCCCGCACGTGTGGCAGTACGCAATTTCAAATTTGATTTCTGTGCACTTTTCTTCAAAATTTGACCCAAAACTCATTTTTCTTCACTGTTACACTTCTATCTCTCCCCCTCTCTCTCACTATATATTCATCTTTTCTCCTCTATCACTCTACAAACCCACCTAACTCCAAACTTCTCTCTAAGGTTTACTAAAAACTATCAAGATTTTGATAGGAGTTTTTATACCAAATCAAAGAGGATGACGAGGATTACGTTTTCACCTATTGAATCTTAATTTCGTCAACCTTAATTTTGGAGCTTCTTTTCTTCTCCTCTTCTAGAATTTGAGGTACTGATTTTCTAAGTTTAGTGTATGTGTTTTAACACTATTATTTGCTATTTTGAGAGTTGGCATGAGTTTGAGATTAGGGTATTATTTATCTATATCTATTTCTTAAATAAAAAGGGGGATTTCTTAAGTTTCTTCTTGAAATTTATATTAGTTACCATGA